TGTTATTGTCTAATATTTTTTAATGAGTAATATAATGATACGCCGTTAAATTTCTTTTCTAGATGCGATCGCGATCAACACCGAAAATTATTTATTATAACTATATGATTAATTAACTTTTATAAATAACACATAATTAATATCTATATACAAATCGCGACAAAAATTCTCTATCGCATTTAATCGTAATTTATTCATTTAATCAACTAAGAATTATAGTAACAGAAATCTAAAATAATAAATTATTATTTCGATATGAAATCGATTTTTACGAGCAGAAATTATTTCTTTAGTATTTATAGATATTTATAGAGTCAAATACAATATATCTGCGATGCTTTATTTTTCAATCATTGAAATATTTTGAATTGTGAGAACGCACAATAAAATAATTGAATCATGAATCTAAACATAATGAAAGACTCCATATATCAATCTTTTAATAAATAATCCTATAATTAAAAAATCTATGTAATCTAAAATACTGTTATATACTTAAATATATTCCATATATACATATATGTATATATTAAAATACGTAAAATATTTCGATGACGAACAAACAATAACCGACCTTGGTGCCGTAATAGCGCGCTAATGTTTATATGCTATAGTCTTGAAAAATGTTTCGATAAAAAAATAATAATAACACGGTCTTTCGGACTAACTTTTTCGGTTCTATTATTATTCGCGCGTCGACACTCAAAGAGTAAAGTAGTGGTATACAAGACGCTCCGTTAAATCCTTTTCTAGACGCGATCGCGATCAATATCGAAAAATTATTTGCTGTATTTATTATATTATATTATAATATAAAATATAATATAATATAATACAATATATTTCGATATGACGAACGAACAATAACACGGCGTTCGATCTTGACGTAAACAATAGCGCGCTAGTCATACGTCTTAGTATCATTCACAAAGCGACACTCAAGCAGTAAAGATCGTAGTGCGAAATATGTCGTATATTCTTATATGTTTATATGCCATAGTCTTGAAAAATGTTTCGGTACAAAAATAATAATAACACGGTCTTTTGGATTAATTTGTTCGGTTCTATTATCATTCGCGCGATGACACTCAAAGAGTAAAGTAGTAGTATAAGACGCTCCGTTAAATTCTTTTCTAGACGCGATCGCGATCAATATCGAAAAATTATTTGCTGTATTAAAATATGTAAAATATAATATAATATATATAATATAATATAATATAATAAAAATACGTATTGTTTACGCCAAGATTGATATTATTATCTGTTTGTCATCGAAATATCCTACGTACGTTAACATATTTATATTACCTTATATTGTAATATAAAATATAATACAATATATTTCGATATGACGAACGAACAATAACACGGCATTCGATCTTGACGTAAACAAGCGCGCTAGTCGTACAACGTATGGCCTTCGTATCATTCATAAAGCGACACTCGAGCAATAAAGATCGTAGTGCGAAATACGTCGTATATTCTTAAATTAATTATTAATTAAACGATTATTGTATCGTGACTTTCAATTATATTAAACTTTCGACTATAATCGTATTAATATACATGTATTGCATATATATATATATCAATAATGAAAACAACAAATTCATTACGCATAATAATTAGTTTTACAAAATGAATTATTTTGAGTTTTATAAAGAAGATTTATAATTATATATCTATTAATTATATATTATATTATATATAAAATTATATATAATATAACCCTCCCACGGGGTACACCTTGTCGCGGTGGGAGGGCTTAGTACTTGGATGGTGCCTTGAAGTTTATTTTAAATTTTTTAATTTAGAATAAATCTCAAGGAGCCTGAAGAGGAAGCTAAGTACCCTTTCGCGTCGTCGGTGCCGTCAACGTGTCGCGGATGGCGGCGTCTCGTTACCGCGTTTTCGCGTTTAGCTTTTTCGCGTCATCGCGTCATCGCGTTTTCGCGTTGGACTTTCTCGCAATCCCAATTTCATTTATATGTCATCGAGTTGTCATCTTCCGACGTCAATTAACTGGGATGTTCATTGAGTCGTTGCTGCAACGATCTTTGTCTCACGCCTGGTGCAACGCGGCATTTAGGTGATGCCGGCGCGCATGCGGATGCCAGTACTGTGTATGTGGGCGCGCGATTTTGAGCTTTTGCTCAAAAGTCCGGCTGATTGAGGTCACGCTCTGCTTCTGGCTCCAGTTCGGTACGGATCGGTTAGGATTCGATCGATTGCTTGGAATCGTCGTTAATGGATCCCTTCTCTTGTTCCGTCTGAGATAGGATATTAGGCGCGGACAAGAGTCGAGTGAACTCCATTCGCGTTGATTCCATCAATCGATAGTTTTCTTCCGTTTCGGACTTAACTCTTGTTCGGAGGTAAGATGCGTTGAATTCCCGACCTGTTGACTCGAAGATGACTCTTGTAAAAGTGAAACGGGATTTTCGCTCGTACCGAAACCGGGAGTGCCGTTTAAAGTATATATATATTAAATATATACATCGCGCGACAAAACAGAAAATTTTTAATCGTATCGAATAGTGCGGGAGTGCCGTTCAGTATCGCGCGTAAAAGTGCGAAAATAGCGATATAAAAATATCGCACGTGAGTGCGGGAGTGCCGCTAAAAGTATCGCGCGATTAAGACTGAGAGGAGGAGGAGGCCTAGGAGAGGCATCGAGCTTCGGCAGAGCAACCGTCTGGTAAATAGTTTATTTATTTGCAATTATATATATATATATATATATATATATATATAAATTAAATATTGAATATATTTATTATAATTTAAATTAAGCAATTAATCGTAATTTGATTTTTTTATTCATATGATTTAAATACGAATTTTAAAGAAAAAGATTTTTATATAAAATTTATAATCTTGTAAAGGTTTTATAAAGTTATTCAAGAATTATTAGTAATATTTTATTTTATTAATCTGCTATTATTATATGCGTCGGATATAAAATTCAATGCATACAATAATTTTTAAAATATTAATTATTTTGAACATTATTACAATTTAGATCTTCTATTTGTATGTTATAGATCGACGCAACAACCCAGATGATCTGAGAGGAGGAGCAGGCCTAGGAGAGGCATCCTGCACCAGCGGAACAACCTGATGGTGAATATTATTATTTATATTAATTGTATATAAATGAATTAATTAATTTATTAATTTGATTTATGTGAATGATTTAAACAAGAAAAAATTGGGAAAATTTTTGTAATATTTCTTTCTATATAATTCTTTCTAAAGGTTCTACTTGAAAAAATTAATTAATTATAAAATTATTTTATATTTATATATCTATTTATAATTGCGCACATCGGACATAAAATTCAATGAATCCAATAATAAATTTCTTAAAATATTAATTATTTTAAACATTGATGTAATTTGCATTTTATATTTGTATGTTACAGACAACGTAGCTTCAATATCAATTCCGCTGTTGCGCATCAGTGCCGGTAAGTGACAACCTTTTATTTTGAAGCAAAGGATTTATAAATGCATGAAGAAATCCATTGCTTCTAACTCTCCGTTGGCGGGACAATACGCGAGTAAAAATTAAAGTGAAAAAGTAAAGGAAAAATATTTTTAATAAAGATAGATGATATTTTTATTGCAATTGTATGATGGACATACATGAAATATTCTAAAATTCTATTATATATCGTCTCTATAAAAAACAATTTTATAAAAATATAGGTTTTTAATCGATAAATATTTAATCTATAAAATAGAGATATTTCTAACCAATCTGCCAACCGAGAGTTAAAATGCATGCTTTTTATCTTTTATGCATGATAATTTATAACTTGTAATTTTTGACGACTGAATAACGTGCGTTAAAGAAACGATCATAATATCGCATGATCGTTATTGAAACAAATTAGTCGTCAGAATGAATGGCCAGAAGTGGAGATAACTGGCCTGAAAAATACATGGTCAATATTGGCCAAAAGATGTGTTGCGCGGTTAAGGCTCTTTAAATTTTATCGCGAATTTCCGATTAGGGCTCCCCAAATTGCACCTTATCGCGAATTTTTGCTGGTGTAAGCCAGCAAGTAAGGCGGCTAGGGTTGTTAGGACTGCTAGGACTGTTAGGGATGTTAGGGCTGTTAGGTTTGTTAGGGCTATTAGGGAATATAAAAATTAAATTTATTTTCAGAGAAAAAAAACATAAATATTATTAAAAAAAAAAATATATATATATATATATATATATATATATATATATATATTGCGTCGTCGACTTTTCGTCGTCGGTGCCGTCAACGTGTCGCGGACGGCGGCGTCTCGTTACCGCGTTTTCGCGTTTAGCTTTTTCGCGTCATCGCGTTATCGCGTTTTCGCGTTGGACTTTTTCGCAATCCCACTTTCACAAGTGAAACGGGATTTTCGCTCGTACCGAAACCGGGAGTGCCGTTTAAAGTATATATATATTAAATATATACATCGCGCGACAAAACAGAAAATTTTTAATCGGAATAGTGCGGGAGTGCCGTTCAGTATCGCGCGTAAAAGTGCGAAAATAGCGATATAAAAATATCGCTCGTGAGTGCGGGAGTGCCGTTAAGTATCGCGCGTCTAACTGAGAGGAGGAGGAGGCCTAGGAGAGGCATCAGGCTCCGGCAGAGCAACCTTCTGGTAAGCAATTTATTTATTTGTAATTATATATTAAATATTAAATATATTTATTATAATTTAAATCAAACAATTAATCGCAACAATTAATTTGATTTGTTTATTTATATGATTTAAATAAGAGAGAAAAAGATTTTTAAATAAAAGCTATAATCTCTTGTAAAGATATAAGCTTTTATAAAAATTATTAATAATGTTTTTCTTTAATTTATAGAATTATTTTATGAATCTACTTATTATTATATGGATTGAATATAAGATACACAATACATACAATAATAATTCTTTGAAATATTAATTATTTTGGACGTTATTATAATTTGGATTTTCTATGTGTATGTTATAGATGTAACCAACCCAGATGATCTGAGAGGAGGAGCAGGCCTAGGAAGGCATCTTGCACCAGCGGAACAACCTGATGGTGTGTATTATTATTTATATTAATTTTATATAAATTAATTAATTAATTAATTTGATTTATATAAATGATTTAAACATGAAAAAATTGGACAAATTTTTATAATAATTCTTTCTATAAAAGTTTCTACTTAAAAAAATTAATTACTTATAAAATTATTTCATATTTATACATCTATTTATAATTGCGTACATCGGATATAAAATTCAATGAGTCCAATAATAATTTCTTAAAATATTAATTATTTTGAACATTGATATAATTTGCATTTTATATTTGTATGTTACAGACAACATAGCTTCAATATCAATTCCGCTGTTGCGCATCAGTGCCGGTAAGTGACAACTTTTTATTTTGAAGCAAAGGATTTGTAAATGCATGAAGAAATCCGTTGCTTCTAACTCTTGATTGGCGGGACAATACGTGTAAAAATTAAAGTAAAAGAAAAAATATTTGTAAAATAACAATAGATATAGACATACATGAAATATTTATTTCCATTATATATATATGGCCCTTTACAAAACGATTTTAAAAATAGATTTTTAATTTCTAAATATTTAATCTAAAAAATAAAAATATTTATAAGCAACCCGCCGACCGAGAGTTAAAATGCATGCTAATTATATTTTATGCATGATAATTTATTTTGCGATTTCTGACGACTGAATGACGCACGTTAAAATACGATCATAATATCGTACGATCGTAAACAAATAGTCGTCAAAATGAATATAGCCAGAAGCAGAGATAACTGGCTTGGAAAATACATCAATATTGGCAATATTGGCCAAAAGATGTGTTGCGCCGCTAAGGCTTCCTTTTATCGCGAATTTCCGGTTAGGGCTTCCTAAATTTTTCATTATCGCGGATTCCTAATTAGGGTTCCCCAAATTTCACTTGATCGTGAATTTCTGCTGGCGTAAGCCAGCAAGTAGGGTGGCTAGGGCTGTTAGGTCTTTGTTAGGTCTGTTAGGGCTGTTAGGACTGTTAGGTTTGTTAAGCCTATTAGGTTTGTTAGGGCTATTAAAGCATATAAAAATTAAATTTATTTTCAAGAAAAAAAACATAAAATATGTTATTTTTAGGGTCTGTATTAGGCTTGTTAGGGCTATTAGGTCTGTTAGGATTGTTAAGATTGTTAGGGCTATTAGGGCATATAAAAATTAAATATATATATAATTTATTTCATATAAAATTAAATAAATTATATATAAAGAATTGAAATTAATTATAAAAAAACTATAAATAAAAATAAAAAAATTAATGTATGGAAAATGTAAAAAATGTAACTTAAATACATAATGTACATTTAAGTTGCATTTTATTATACGTATAACATGTACTAAATTTAATATTTTATTTTTTGTAAATTGTATTAATATTTTATTTTATCTACTAAAAATTGTATTTTTTTTTAAATTATAAATTTTAAATTCAAAGTGAATGTTATTAGTATCTAATATGATAATATTTATTTGATAAAATATTGAGAGACAAAAGTAATTCAATTTAAATAATTTTTTTTCTAACTTATTTGAAATCATATACATTGATTATCATTGAATAATCATTTTAAATAATAAAAATTTTGCAATTTTCTTATGTTGAGAATATTGATACTAATAGCATTAATTATTAAATTGTAATTAACATTATAATTATATCTATAAATTGTAATTATATTATTTTTTATTTTTCATAATTTTCTTTGCAATTGTATAGAAATTATAATCTAATTGTAATAATGTAAAAGAAATCTATTGTACATTACACGAAATTAGGTGAATACGTACAATAACAAAATTTGTTTAATTAACACATTTGATATATTTTATTTGAATATTTTTATTGCAAAATTATTCAAATATTTGGATAGCTTATTTTTATACTAAAAGATTATTAATAAATTCGAGAAACTTTCGTAATCGCGCAAATACCGTAAAAAAAATTTTTTTTACATAATATAAAGGTTATTAAATAAAAGTGAATCAAGAAAAACACGATGTTAACCCAATAATTAGATATTAGCTTTTTACGTAAAATTTGTCGTTCTTTTAATATTATAGAAACACAAGTATATTCGAAAATAAAATATTGCGAAATATTAAAATTATCAATCATGCGGAAATTAAAATCTGTAAAACAAAATAATTTTCTTTGATTATCGTTTTTAATTTAATGTATTTCGAGAATTTCGCATCGCGTTAAATATTTATAGATTACGATTTATTGATTTACGATTTTATAATAAATTATATTGCAAACAATTGCGTTCTTTTCACGTTTTTGGATGTGATCGCTGTCTCGACGACGAAGCCTTATCGCTGTCCCTCATGTCAGGCGGACGCTAGCAAATGCGCGGTTTGTACTGCGGAGAATCGAAACGATTTTCATTGCGGAAAGTTATTTCTCGCCGGTTTTTGTGAGATCTATCCGCAACGCTTAGTTCGGTGCTCATTGAAAATTGGAAAGTTTCATTACAGAGTAGGAATTAAACCCAGGTTTTCGTGGCGGTTCTGGAAACAATGTTTTGGCAGTGATTTAACGACATCACCGTACATTGTTTGAAATCGAATTACAAAATTCATTATATTTTGAGAGAAGATATATTTTCTCTTTTTGTTAAAAATGTTCTTCATTAATATCTCCTATTAATATCACTATTATTTTAATAATGAAAATAATAATTCAAAAATGGATATAATAGATGATAAAATTCCTTTTTCAAATATAAATTTAATTTAATAAGTTTTCGCGCAAACTTTTTTGTGCAAAATTTTTATTATTTGAAAAATTATGGTTACAAACAAGTATATTTTATTAATTAATTTTGAATTAATTTTATTTTTGGTCTCTTTTAAGAAACCACTTGCAGGATTACTGGATGCTCCACTATTTATGTATATTATAATTAAGTTTATTTTAGATAAGAGTGTACATATAATAAAATACATGTGCGTAAATTGTGACATATTTGAAAAAACTTTTTTTAATATTATTCTTAATAATATATTAGGAATGCATGATATAATATAAAATGTGTGATTAATTAAAAAATTCGAGACAAATCGAATGGGTACTCTGATATCAGTAAGATGATCTGCAAATTATTGTTACGTGCTAAGTTTAACTGTTAAATGCAACAGAAAAATTAATTTCTTGATAATCATTTGATGTTGCTAAATATTCAATTAATTTTTTTTTAAATCTTGCTGTTATTAGATTTGATTTGTCTCGAGGCAAATTTGGTACCCTAAAATTATTATTATTCACATATTTAATCAAGCAACGCTAAAAGCGCATGTATTTCATTTTTTTTAAATATATTGATTCTAACATGTATATAAAAACTATTATATCCAGTCATTATTTAGTAAAAAAAAGATATTTCTTAAAATGGAAGAACATTTTTTTTACGCGAATTTTAATTTCATTTATTGAAAATGATAAGAAGGGTAACAGTCGTTAATTCGCTGCCGAAATCACTGTTATCAGGAGCAATTAGGAAGATCGGGGTTCGTTCTTCCTGTAAAGGGATTTCTGATGTTTAATGAATCACTTAACTATCCTTGTGGATCGATTTCGCAAGATCCGAAATAGAAGAAATAAGACAAATTGAAGTCGTTTCCCACTTTTAGGATCGTTCTTCTCTCTGTCAGATATTAACCAGCGTGTCACTCGGCAGAGGGATTTTGATCTGGTTTAATCGTTGGGCAGTTATTCTTCATTGAACGTGGGATAATGCGATATTTTAAGGAAGAATATTAAAGTTTAGCCTGTTTGCAATTGTCCGCGGAACAAGATATATTTTTATTTTTAATCCAAATTTACATGAAATTGTATATTTGAAAAGAAATCGAGTATTACATTCTGATTACGCGTTTGATTTTTACGTCATATATTATAATATTTGCAAATTATATGAAAATGCGCCTCTAATGTTGCAATTTTTTATTATCGCATAAAACGATAATAATTATATTTGGCGCACGTTGTATTCCGATTATAGAAATTATATGTATTGTGGTTAAATATTTTATTATAATTTATTCATCACATATATATTCGAAATTTAAATCGCGATTTTTTCTTTTAATTTAATCAAAGCTCAATTTATCTTTCCGCGCATAACATTTCTTTTAGAAAAATCTTATAAAAATGCATTAAAATTACTTTTCTTAATTGAAAGGACACAAGCGATAAATTTATTAATGATTTTTTTAGTCGCGATAGATTATCAGCTACGTAATCTAAATTTTCTAAAAATTTCTAATCAATTTTATTTGTACGTATTGCGGATATTTTCGTGTAATATAGTAAAGTAATCTATGTATATATTCTACATAACAATTTTTATGTATTAATATAATATATTTTATTGTTATGTATTAACTATTATTTTACGAAAGTTATGTATATTTTATTATTAAATTTTATGTATTTTATATATTATAATATAATATATATATTTGTTGTGTGTGTTATATGTATATATTTTATTATTTTTTTATACATTATATATTTCAATTTGATTTATTATTTTATAATTAATTTCTAATTTATATTTTTAACTCTATTGTATTTAGAGTTAAAATAAAATATTATATATCAAGTTATACTATTATGAAATGATGAACAAAAATATGTGTAAAAGTATAACAAAAGGATGAACAAAATAGTGTAAAAGATATTTGTAACAAAGAAAATAAATCTTGAATAAATGTCGAAAAATGGAATAATCTCTTTTTCGAAAAATTTTTTATTCTCCTTTTTTTTCTTTCTATATACATAGTATTATTGTAAGTCCAAGAATGTGTGTGTGTGCTCTCAACATCATTATCCGTATTATTGAAATATTTGAATAAATTCGAATACATAATTTATTTGATGTTGATAACCAATTTAAAAATTGTACTATAATTATAATATATATTTTGTAATATATTTTTTATATGACTGCAAGCTATGTAATTATGCATTATAATATTTATAATTATATAATATATATATAATATATGTATATTTTATACATTTTTGTATTATATTTTCTATTTGGAAAATTTGAAAAACCTACATTATATTAAAAGAAAATAAAATAAAAAAATTGTACCTCTTCGATGGTATCTCCACCTTAACGAAGGCATTTGCCGGGTGAGGAGGTTTGAGTATCTAATGATCCGGAGAGCTATGCCGGCGGTAACTTAGGCCAGTATTCATATATAATCTGTTCTTATGTTTAAAATT